GATATAAATTTGGAGTCTTTTTTCATGGAAATATGTGTCATAATAATTTTAATTATACAAGATAAAAGAGTGAATTCATAAGTGCATTTTATTTATAGGAGATGTGTTTTGTTTTGCTATGTGTTTTTTATCCATTTATATATTTATTTTGAGGGTGGAAATGATCAAAAGAAATACATAGCAAAGTGGTATTACATTTATTCTTTAAATTGCATGTATTATTTTATTTATGCTTTTAACTATATGGGCTAAATTTTCATTTACCTGTGGCGTTTATATTGCTAAAAATGCCACGATTCGTTTTTTCGTCCTAGCGATGCATTACTTTTGAGCGTCACTGTATATGCTTCATGAAGTTATCTGAAAAGAATTCGGTTATTACTAATACTGATTTACCAGAAGAAAATTAAGATCGGGAAAATCTTGTTTTAATTGAAGGCGCTGAGAATATTCCATATTCATAAGTTATATAATTTAATGTTATATTAATAAAATAGGTCAAATAGAAGCTATAGAACTCTAATAGGTGAGTATACCAGAAAAAACGCAACCTAACGTTAATAATAATCAGTTTTTGAATTTTAAAGTTTTTCAAATTCATAGCTTTGAATTTTTCGTATAGCGAAAAATAATGAAGCTATTCTTAAAGATGAGCGCGTAAAAATAAATTTTCTATTGAAGCAATCACGCGATATTGATTAACGAAAAATAATTATTCGAACATGAATCAAGATGACTCTTGTTATAGTAAAGGTATTCTTTACTATAACGAGCGAGAGTTTACTATAACAAGAATCACTTGTATTAATAAAAAAACTTCCTTTATTAAAAAAATGTTCGAAGGGGGTGACCTCGAAATATGATCAATCATGCGACACTTCATGAGATGATCATCCCTCAGCCACTGACTTATCAAAGAGTGAATCTGAATGATATTTTCCAAATTTATTTGGATTATTACTGTGCAAAATTCTTGTCTTTATAATTCTGATATTAAATACATCGGAGAGAGAAACATCATGAGAAATGCAAGTCAATTATCTATGAGAAAATTGATACATGTATCAAACAATGATTTTATTATAACGAGAAAGGGAATCTGTTAAAAAAAAAGGGCACCAGCAGCGCATAACATTAATGATGTAAGCAAGTGTTCCAATTACAGTTAACGTTAAACCATCTCCATGATTTTTATTATAAAAAGTTCCTAGTTTATAATTCTCTTATGATTATGATCACCATACATTAACGTTAACCATTAGGATTAAATAGATCGACCAAAAAAAAACTTACTATGCATAATCATAATACATGTATGTCTTTGTTCAGAAGCAACTTTGAAAAGAAAAATCAGGTTCAAATAGCCAAGCCATCAAAAAATGAATGATTTTTTAAGATTTACGGAAATAATTAAAAAAAAACTTTTTATATTAGTATTAGCTCTTGAAGCATGACTAATGAATTAGATTATCATCAATTTAAAACCATAACGACAAAATATATATCATCTGTTTTACCTTTTTTTCCCGTATCTTTGTTTCCACCATAGATAATCATTGAAAAATGGCCGAAAGTCCAAAAAAAAAAGAAAAATTGCCACTCGCCATGAGACCCGGTTTTGGTGAGATCGGGAATAAAATTCGTGTGAGGACGAACTTTTTTGAAGTAACATATCTACCGGATAATAACATAATCCACTATGACGTGACGATTTCTCCGGACGTACCTCCTGTGTTGAATCGCAAGGTGTTTCAAGAATTCGAAACACATAATCGAGGTGCCCTTGGTGGTATCCGGCCGATTTTTGACGGTAAGTAAACGATACATAAGGTACAACTCGAGAACTTTTTAAACTGAGTGCAACATATCATTGCATTTTATTGTTGACTTTTTAGCTTTAAAGGGCAAAAGTTTTGTAACGATTTTACTAATTTGTACCCACATTTTGTAAAGGTCGAAAAAATATTTTCGCACCTAGGCCGTTGCCTCTCGGTGAAGGAGCCGCGTTTACCGTTAGTATTTAAAGAAATCATTATTTTAGTCGTGATACAATATTTGATTTTATTGGTAAAAATTCACATGTTGAATGAATTGCAGGTAACACTACAGGATAACATACCTTCGGCAAGACGTGATGTACGTGAATTCAAATTAAAGATCAAGAAAGTAGGGGAAATTAACGTGGAACATCTTTATCGCTTCCTACAAGGGAGAGGCCCGTCAACGAATGAATGTTTGACAGGTTAATTTAATAACTATTATTAATGTTTGTGAGATTTGTAGCTAATATTCGCTTTATGTTCTCAGCTTTTATCTATTAACCATTATTTAGCAATCATGGCACTTGATGTGCTCATTAGACATAGCCCATCCATGCAATATGCAACTAAGGGCAGTTCATTTTTCATTCCTCAAGGTTCCCAACAATTGTATGGAGGAGTAGAGGTATGGCAGGGCTATTATCAATCAGCCAGACCCACCCAAGGTATCTTGTCAGCGGCTTGAATTATTTCATAGAAATACATCATTATCAATGAATTAGCTTAATTATATCTTTGGTGAAATATAAAGGTAGAATGCAGGTCAATGTCGATCTCAGCGCTACGGCATTTTACGAAGGTGGCAGTTTAATACAAATCATCGTTAAGATTCTCGGTAGGAGATCTCCAAATGATCTCCACAGAGGAATCAACGATAGAGATCGGGTAAAGCTTGAAAAATTTTTAAAGAATCTAAAGATACGAGTAGTACATCGTGGTGACGCCGTTGCTCAACGTCGATATCGTATCAGGGATATTTCCTCAAAACCTGCAAATCAAATCACGTTTACGAACAGCGACAATGAGGTTTTGGACGTAGCAAAATACTTTCATAAAACATATAATAAACCTTTAACTTTCCCGCACCTTCCGTGTGTGGTGATCAACATAAAAAATAATATGTGTTTTCCCATGGAAGTGTGCGAAGTCATTGAGGTATTGTTTTTTATGTTGTTTGCTTTTTTCAGTCTTGTTCTACGCGTTTAGTTTATTTAAGGAATTGATAAACGATGATATTCATTAGGGACAACGGTATCCCCGAAAGCTTAATGAAAAGCAAACGGCCGACATGATTAAATTCACATGTCAACCACCGCACCTTCGCGCGAATAAAATAAAGCGGGGACTGGAAATTCTAAATTATCGTGAAAACGATCATATGAAACAATTTGGGATGAAAGTCTCGAACGAAATGACGGTGGTAAGTAAATTATAATTATATATGATCAACTTTATTATTTTATCTATTTCTCCTTAATCCTTTTTAGGTTAACGCCAGAGTGCTTCCAACGCCTCCCGTACAATATCATCCGTCTTCTAAAGAATCGAGCGTTAAGCCAAGAGAGGGTACTTGGAACCTTCGAGACAAAAAAGTAGCAGCTGGAACTACTCTCGGCTCATGGAGTGTTTTGGTGTTTGGACCATCGCACGAGATCCCTGAAACAAATGTAAAGCATTTCCTCAGGGAACTTATAACGACATGTCAAGATACTGGCATGGTAAAATTTATTCTTGTTTATCAGATTTATGCAAATTCCTATTTGCATCAATAATTTCATATTTATTGATTTTATTCCTTCAAAATAGAATATACCGAATAATAATCCGCCAATAATGTACGCTAACCCGCAAGGGGATATAGAAGTGGCACTCAAAAACGCTTGGCTTAACGCCGGAAATCTCGCTAAGGCGCCACCTCAGTTGATATTGTGTATTTTACCGAACACTGGTGTACCGCTTTATGCGGAAATTAAACGTGTTAGTGATACGGTCATAGGAGTCGCTACACAGTGTATTCAGCAACGACACATGATGCAAGCAAAAAAAGCATATTGTGCAAACGTGTGTCTTAAAATGAACGTTAAACTTGGCGGAATGAACTCCTTCCTATTACCGGAGCATATTCCGTTCATTGCAGAGCGGCCTACCATTCTGATGGGAGCAGATGTTACTCATCCCGCGCCTGGTAAATTACTTTATTTACTTTGTTTAACAAAAAATATTAATCTCTTCAACTATCAATCATCAATAATTTCAGGTGATACTGTAAGGCCGTCGATAGCAGCTCTCTGCGCCTCCATGGATGCTAAAGCTTCTCGATATGCGGCCGCAATACGAGTGCAAACGGGAAGAGAGGAGATAATAGCAGATCTAATAAACATGGTTAAAGATTTACTGAAAACTTTCTATCAAACCTGTGGTAGAAAACCTGACCGGATTTTATTCTATCGGGATGGAGTGTCAGAAGGACAATTTCAAAAAATATTAACCGATGAGATAATGGCTATCAGAGGTAAAATCGAATATTTTATATTATTGAGAACAAAATGTTAACATCTCTTGATAATAGCTGCATGTCAATCCTTGGAATCTGACTACCGTCCAGGCATAACATTTGTCGTCGTACAAAAACGACATCACACGCGATTTTTTCCAATGGAAAAAAAGGATGCAGATCGTTCTGGTAACTGCTTACCGGGCACCATAGTAGAAAGTAACATTACGCATCCCTATGAATTTGATTTCTGTAAGTATTTAATAAGAAGTACAATAGATGTAACACTACATAATAGTAAATTATTAATTGCTATTTTCATTAAATTTAGATTTGCAAAGTCATGCTGGCCTGCAAGGGACATCAAAGCCAACTCATTATCATGTTCTTTACGATGACAATCAGTTCACCAGTGATGCGTAAATATTGTTAATTGAGTTTTCAATATTTAAAACTTTTTATTTTATTAATATAACCGGTTTATTTTTTAGTTTACAATCACTGTCATATAATTTGTGTTATATATACGCTCGATGCACACGAGCCGTTTCTTTAGTATGTTGTTAATAATTTTCACCATGTACAATATTAGATACATAAACTAACAATCTTTATTTTTACTAGGTGCCACCCGTATATTATGCTGATCTTGTTTGTACGAGAGCACGTTTCCATTCACGTGGTGAACAGTGGTCGGATACAGAATCATCCGTGGAAGGAACTGGAGCAGCCTCTTCATATGGAACTGTGCGACCAGATCTTGCAAGGGTAATTAACACGTCTTTTTGTTTATGCCTGACACTTAATATCATTTTGTTAAGCATTTATTTTTTCTAGGTCATGTACTTCATGTAAGAGGTTCAACGTAAATTACCACGAAATCATATTATCGAATAAGTTGCATCATTTAAGAATGGATGCTTAAAACTTTTATCTTAATTATATGATGATGGTTAGAAAAGTCAAAACTAAAACTCTGAAGAATTATTATTAATGTTATGATGTTGCTAAATAGTATTTTTTTAAATCAAGAAAACGTAAGAGTCAACTCTTCCTAAATGCACATTCCAGAAATGCACACGTTAGATATACTCTCTTTAAATGCACAGTCTAGTTCAGTTTCAAGCTTATAAGACTCTTATAAAATTTACTCTTTCTAAATGCACATTTTGACAAATTAGTTCTATGATTTAGGAAGAGTTGACTGTACTTGAAAGCAAAGTTATTAACATGAATCTGATCAGTTTGTATATAAAAATATTTATATTTAAAATTAAAGTATGATTTAATGCAAAAGATTTGTATTTTAATATAAAAATTACTAGTTATTTTTGATAAAAATTATTTAAATTTTAATCAATCTTTATAATTTTTTTTATATTAAGTAAAAAAAGAATCTAAATTAACTTATTATACTATTTTAATTACTTTAATTTACTAATAAATAAAAAAATACTTTTCTAAAAAAATTTAAAAATATTATTACTATTAATTTATAATATTAAATCTTTAATTTTAGTAAGTAAATTTCTTAGATTTGATAAATATATATTTTAAATTTCATAAAAAATTAAAATTAGTAGTGTAACAAAATTAGATTAGTTATTAATAATTAGATTATATTTATCTTTTATTTCGCAGATCATTGCTGCGCCACATACTGTGCCACACATGATCTACTGCGCCACAATCACCCGATCTTGCCAAGAAAAGTTATATGATATATTTAAGTAATATTATTTTATTATTTAAAGATGCTGTTTCTGTTCTGTAATTTTAAGTACCAATACATTGAAATAAAGAATAAGTTTTAAACATAATCTCTTGTCTGCT